TTCAAACGATTGTCAGACTCATCCGCAAGGCAAAAGAAAAGTTAGATTGACTTCATTCTATGCTGAGTTCTCTGACTGGGGATCGAACCCAGGCACTGCACGCATTAACGGATGCTCTATCAGAGTGATGTTGGAAGGCTTCGTGATGTTGGTGTTGGTTTGTCCTGCCCATTTGCCTTTGTATGCAAGAGGAGACGGGCGGATGTCAGCTCCAAGAACGAAGAAAAAGGGCACGCTTTTCTTCATCTTCATTCTCTTCCATCGGGAGTCCTAGTCAAACCCGAATCAATGGATACTCCAAGTCGAGACACGTACGGGAAGGTGATGATAGCTCACATCGTGATGTCTTTTCTTATGAAGTACTACCCCTGGATTTCCGCTGCTCTTTGGCGGATTGGTAGCAGTAACATTGCGAGTTCTCCCTCTCTCTACGTGCTCATCTACTAGTCGATTGTGCCTTAGCCCAGGAAGAAACAGCGGGAGCAAGATAGAGCTCAGTGGGGCATATCACTGAGAGGATTATACATGCAGTGGATCAGACACGAAATCTCCAGGCAGGGGTCGACTGAGCCGAAACCGCGGTGTGTCAAAACCCAGGGTTTCATGCGTAACCCTAGTGAGCAGGACCTAGTCAAGAGTCAAATATTGAAAAAGAAGATCAAGACAAAAAATCAGAGCCTCTATCAGGACGCTCTGACTGGGAGTCGAACCTAGCTGCATGTACTAACCGATACACTATCAGAGACAGACATACGATATTTGAAAATCTTGAGTATTATTCTCTTTCTTCCATTCCCCGCGGGCTTATCCTCTCTCGTATTCTTTGCCTTTCTATATCTGAAGGGATTCAGGAAGAAACACGTATGAACTATACCACGACAACGACCGTGATCTCGCTTTCCTCCGTGAACTCCTGAATCATTGTCCTTGGGAACAGCCAACTGACGGAAAGGCGACCGCTGGCGATTTAACGTCGCCAGAAACAGAGAATATGGACGCACCAGCTCGAGTTTTTTTTTCTTTTTCGTGCGCCGTAGAGAGACGAAGACGTTGTCGACACCTGTTTTTTGCATATACATGGATTTCGTGATATGATCTCCAAAGGTAAGTGCATATAATCGGGCTCTAAGAAGAGACTAACAATATGTATAGTGTCTGCCTATGAGTCATGTTTTTCAAACAACTCGAGATATGGTCAAGCCCTAACGACCCAGAAGTTTTGCAGCTTCAGAAGAGGGAGTAATTCCTTGAAGCACCTAGAATTGCTTTTTCTTCTTCTGGCAGTTCTTCTCATTTGTTTCTGGCCCCGTATCACGGGCAGATGTTCCCTGCCTTTCATTGCTGGCCATCTTGGGATTTCGGGAATGAGCCGCTTCTGACGAGGAGGGAAGATTGGTTCAAACTTCACGATATCTTGCCAGCAGGAGCGTGGTGTTGAAGATGTCGAAGAAATCGGACATTCTGTACTAGTTATGCGGCGAACATGCAACGCGGAAGAGTTCTATGCGCTGGTGGGAGGGACGGTATGTGTTCTATAGTCTGGAATGATCATGTATGGTCGCTCTCGCAGGTTTGTAATACCTGATCCTCTTCTTTAGATCACTTTGCAACATTGTGTAGGACTGTCAAGCATTGGACTGCGGTATGTAGATGATGCTAACTGCCAACATGTTTCTAATGCTCGACCCGCAGATTGGCGTTTTTGTCTGATTTTAAAAGTGTCTTCCATTATTTGATTTTTATCACCTGCATACAATTGCATCGCCTCCTTGGACGGTACGAACAATCTTCTCTCCTGGATGGAATACACCTCAACAGGGAAGAAGAGTATGCCGCCTGATGCCCGCTCCATGATTCTCCTCGTCTCTTGGCTCTCCCTTGTCTCCGACTCTGATTCGCGGATGCGCTATACATAGTTTTTACTCAATGTCTTTTGTCTTTGATACTTCTCGAACTTCGAAGGGAAGGATGAGCAGTTCCGATATCGATGGGCCTTCAACCGTTTTCTTCCACATTCATTCGGGTTCTTCCATTCTCACGTCAACGCTCCAGGCTTGGCAGTATTCTATCTCGGGAACAGGACACCTTTGGTAGAGCCTGTGACATGACCAAACAACGAATATTGGTTCGTGATACCTTTGTCTCCTCACGGGGGCTCAAAGAGAGATTCGACAATGATGATGTAGAGGAAACAAATCGTTGTGCCCAGCTGTGCTCCTGGGCAACTGATATTTGGATCAATCACACATTGGACTGTTAGGTGCGTATGATGTCCTCTGGAATGGAGATGAGTAGCAAGACTGCGGTGCGCTTGTTGGAGTGATGTGAGCGCCAGAAATGCCTTGCGGTATACAACTTCCTATTTCGATGTACGTGCATGCCGACACGGACTGTATCTTTCTATAGAACAATCACCGGCTGTTTCTACGTCGGAATTTCAAATCATTCTATGCTTTCGCCGATCATATGTGTAGCAGTGAGTTTCATCCTAATGCATCAATCATCTTGGTTTAATTTATCAACATAGATTGGTGCCTTTGACGAAATAATGTACCGCCAAGTGTTCCTTCTCTGAAGGGTGGAGCACGAACCAGAAGGAATGTATTATTGCCACCTGTTGGTCCATTATTGCACTGAAATCAAACCAATAGCTCTGAGTAGTGAATAGGTGGAGGAGAAGATGGCATATCATTGCGGGAAACGCAGTCTTACATGTTTTCTTCTCTGCTGAAAATTTTCACCAAGAACATGCAGATCACCCTCTTCCTGAACCGCAGTACAACCCTGACCAGCTCACTGGGAGATATTTACTTCTTCGCGGTCTTGCAACTGAGACTGAATTTTATCGATGCCTATCCTCAAGTCTTGACAGGTGATGATGAGAAAGATCTACAGAAGCTCATGGGTCTGCAACTGTACTGTACCTTCGGGTGATGATCAACAAGTATATTTAAATCCCATCTACGTGTCCTACTACTTTAACAGCAGCTTCTTTCTTTCTTTCGTTCTCTATTCCCCTCTTTTCATATGGAATCAGCTCCTGTACCAATCCCGCTACTCGGTGCCACATTTGGGATACTTCTCATCGGGGCCATCCTTTCTGCCATGTAAGCTTCAAACCCATCTGTCCCAACTGATGCCAGACCATGATGCGCAGTCTATTCGGGATATTAAATCTCCAGTCCATCTGGTATTTCAAGCAATACCCAAATGACTGGTGGATCTGTCGACTCGTTGTGCGTATTGCATATACTTTTATTCTCCCAGTTGAGCTTGAGGTGTTTAATGAATAGGTGGCAGTCATTTGGTGAGCAGTTCCGACTCCTGAGTTGACCTAGATCACTTATGTTTATGTACAGGGTCCTGGATACCCTAGATGTTGTGGTTAGCACTCACGCGTTATATTTCCTTCTCGTCGAGACTCGGATAGTGGGCAAGTTCCTAGCTTTGGATCAACTTGATGTCATTTGGTACATTTCAATATTCATTGTATCGTTTCCCTAACTTAATCTGGAATGACAGGAGCTGCAAGGTTTGTATCGTGACTTTCTAGTTGTGGCTATGGCAGTTAATGTCTCATTGACCTGGGCAGTTGCATATTCTTCTTGGAGTGCGTATCCCCAATCTTAAACTCGTAGACAAAACTAGATTGATATGCTGTTTAGACCTTGGTCAAAATAGCAGTCCAAGCATGTGTTACTACCTAAGATTTGGCTGCTTGATCAAAACTCATCTTTGGGCAGTATATATGCTGTACGACTGTGGAAAGGTTGCTCATTGGCTCTTTGCATTGACTCTTTGCTAACACCTGCTGATGGCCAGTCCGACAACTCTTTCACCTCAGTCAAGTTGTACCCTGGTTTCTTGTAAGCTCGTCCTGCTGATTATCGCATATTCTTTTCAACCATATTTCCCTCGTAGGCCTTCATCATGGCTTGTAATGTCGGTATGTGAACCTCGAGTGCTTTCCAATTGTTGAATATATGCCTCTGTGATTGACTCTTCACTTCCATAGGCACCGGAACGTGTAAGTTTGTACTGCTCTTGTTGATCATTGCGATTCATGTCCCTCTTCTCATCAGATCTAGTTTACGGAGTGTAAGATTGAGTCATTAAACTACCTATCATCGATAATCCAAGCACTTCCAACAGCTACGGTGTTTCCAACTTCTCCGATATTTCTACTATCAACAATAAAAATATCGATTTATCTCAAGTATTCATGGTCCCGACTGTTCTGCCACCCAAGTAGGCCGGCTTAAGTATAATTTGCTCTGGCATAGAAGTACACCGAAAACCAGAACTAACACCAAATGTACTGCGACCCCTTCTGCGCGAATACCATCGCTTAAGTGAAGTGAGCACATGCACTCAAGTGCACGCTCAAGTCTACAGAATCAAGTGAAAATATTTAAGTCAGCACACTTAAACACGACTACTCAAGTGCTGAATCCCTTGAGTGTGCGCTCAAGTAGTTCAGCTCCATCCATTCCCATTCCCCGTTTTCACTACAACCCCACCCTAACAACATAGCTCGTGAACATAGTAGTGCTAGCTGCAGGGACATTGCAGGGACATGCAATTATGCAACGAAATATCTCACTACATCCCAGAGTAACATTCATCTCTTCACCACCAGCCATCCATCAGTTTGCGTCACTGTCCATATCATGCAAAAAGAATTAACCTCACATTACAGAATACCAGATTACGGCCCCACTAGAGAAGGGGAAAACAGCGAGGGAAAAAGAAGCATGATGGTGGGAGGGAGGAAACGACAGGGCAACAGTGCATGGACCGACCCAATCCTTTTATATTGTGCCACTCGGTTTTACAATTGCCACTTATTACCGAAAACAGAATGCCTAATTAAGAATGCTGTACACTGTTCTACTGGTCGTCATCGCTCTCTGCATCCTCAATGATCAATACCTTCTCTTCCTCTGCCTTCGTCTCATTATGCACCTTTGGCCTCATTTCCTTACTAGCTTCTTCCCTTTCCTCCCAATCATCTGGTTCATCTTCATACTGCTGTCGCTGTGCTACCATGAAATCTTCCAATGTCTGATCTGCTGGTCAGTTCAGCACGTTCCCATACCCCAACGTCTCGAATTCTTGCTTTGCCCTCGCTCCTAACATCATGTACATATTGGCTTTCTCTAAAGCGTACTGCCTGAATCCGAGTGACTTATTTGTCGAAGCGAGGACCTTCCATGTCACCGCGTATTGGCCAGGGCTCCGAATGCACCTCAAGAACTCGGCGATCTTGATTTCCCACTGTTCTAGCCACCGATCCCTTTCTGCCTCTGCACGGAAGAAAGTTACCCGATCACTTGGTATATTTGTAAGTAGTGTGAACTTGTAAACCTGTAGGATACATACCCTCTTGCTCCAATTGCTCGATGTCTTCGCCTGTCATGCCCGGGTGTCTTATCTTGTATAGAATCCATACCCATCCGTCTTCGGTCTGGGCCGCATCCTCCGGAGGTTTTTCCGAGGTTTTACTTCTTTTTGCAGTAGATTCTATAAGTGCATTCATATCATCAGTTGTAATCCATACAAAGATAAGAATGCCGACCGTTTTGAAAAGCGCTTGACCAAGCCGTCGAGCTCTGGTTCAGTATTGTTACGCTGCATCTGGATTGCGACGCTCATGGCAGAGCCTCGATCAGCACCAGTATCAGTGCCATTGATGGTACGCGCACTAGGCAGGGGGGCGTCGACGAAATTGACAGTAAGGCGAGAACCCGATGGATGGGTCGCAAAATCCGTCGGAGTCATTGACAGAGTTCTTTTGCTCGTCTCGTCTCCGTCGACGGAGCCTTGATTGGTTGCAGTATCGCCGCCGTTGATGCTCGATGCACTAGGGAGGGATGCCTGGATGGATTCAATGAGGTGGGTACCGGAGGGAAGGCTCGCCAAATCTGCAGGAGTCATTGACAATGTTCCGATGTTCAGGAGCATGAACACTCACCGCTGAAATCAACGGTGGTACGAGTAGTCAATGAACGTTTTGCTTGCGGACCCTTGAGATGGACCTATGGAAATGGAGTCTTGATAGACGAGGAAGAATAGACAGAACACGCAACTGGTATGGCCATTGCTTCGCCTCTGAACTGCTGAGCTTGTTGAATAACCCATCTGGTTGGCGCCGTTGAACTCTCATCCACTTGAACGCGACACCACTTACTTGATAGAAAGAGCGATGTTTTTGTGGTGCGTTGCAGCATTGCCATCTGAAACGGGTGAATACGCGTGGCCTATAGGCGAAGGAAAGAATACTTACTATTACAGAGTAGTTTCTAACGAGATTCGCACCTAAGTGGTAGGAAAAAGTGGTGGTAGTGGTGGTAAATTCCGCGAGAGGTGGGCGCTTATAAGTGGCGTGAGTAATTTCGTATATATTTGGTTCACACAGCAAAGAGCGTGCGTACTGGCACTCACAATATAGTTCGCAAGGAAATCGAGCTGTACTTTGGTATCTAAATACTCGTTCAATTGGATCTACGGGTCAATAATACTGCGGCCCCCGTCATAGCACAGCCCCTGTCGCGCATGACAATGCAGTGGCTTGTGATCAGTCAGCCACTTTTAATGTGCTCTTGTCGGCACTTCTATTGTCTGGCGCCATACCGGGCCTCTCTCTTTCCTGCACCAACATGAGCCCTACGTCCTTCGCTCTCCGCTGCTGCTGCACGACTTGCTTAGTTCCTTGCCTCTACCGTGCTCTGGCAACGACAACCCTTCACGACCTTCATTCCGATTTGGATTTACTTGGTTAGCGCGAAATCAGTGACAGCAGCAACGAACTCCCTCCTCAAGATGATGGCCGCATCATCGTGGTTTATCCAAGACCTAGGAGGCTATTTGGGAGTGATAAGGTTCGTTGGGAGTCGTTTGCACTGAGTCTGAGATCTCACCAAAAATCTAGTGTAGTGAAACGGCGGCTCGAGTTTTCCCACTCAAGCGCGGCGATTAAGTTCTCCGCTCAAGCGCCGCGCTTGAGCAATCGTTACTTGAGCGCATTCTGCTTAAGTGACGGCTGCATGAGTGTTTTGCTTAAGTGTGTTGCTTAAGTGCTTGTCTGGGTGTAATGTCCATAATACAATGTATATAGTATAGGTTGCTATGTGACAAATTCAACGGGATTCAAGTGTACTGACATTCGGCCACTTAAGTATACACTTGAGTTGTGCCTGAGGCTGAGACCATAGAAACTCAAGAAAAGACCCTATTAAAATATCTATCAAAGTAAGCATCATCGCGCCTCTTTGATCATGTATCTCATCTGAAAGTAGAGTGAAATCATCGCAGTGTTCTCGACAATCACAGGAGTTACTTTCATTATATCCATTGCTATGTGTTATTATCTGAACAGAAGCCGGGCCAGTTCTACGTTTCCCAGGTCCGTAATTTAACACGTTTTATACCTGGGTCACAACGTTGACATCATGTAAACTCAGTACTATTGCGATGTTGGTTGCACTGATGCGGCTGATCCTGATATCTGGGTTGGTTACGAGGTGAGAGTCGACCTATGTACCTTTTCAACCGGTTTACCGTGGTGCGCAGCATGTGCTCTACAGCCACTCTTATAACAGTATGCCAATCGTTATATGTTATCCGATCTCAAGTTCATGATTGACACAGTTTCTCATGTGGCCAAATGCACTCGTATTCGTTGCGATCGATCTCATGCAACCCAGACGTCAGTCCTTCATCACAGATCCGCAGATTCTGACACATTTGCTTATTTACAGTGTTTATCAACTCTTTGTTAGCGATGTGCGTACCAAAAACCATCATCCGTGAACTCTGTGGTGACTTACTCGAGTATCTAGGCTCAATGCACGAAAGGAGCTCCGGAACATTCAGTCTTCCGAGATCCTCGAACCGAAAGGTGAATCTCAGCTGAGATTTACATCTGAATGCGAGTGCAGTAGAGGAACGGAGATGGTATGCGGATCGCACACTCACTCAACGACAACTGACAAACGGACTACTAGCCCATCGTTATATCCATGAGGGTCGAGTCGGAATCGGTTTAATCGTAAAATTTGAGTCCTAGCGCCTTAGTTTTGCAATAAATTATCAGCGACCTGAAAGCTGTTATACGCAACAACAATGTTCTACAATGAGCCGATGTATCGGAGTAGGATGATATTGAAAACTTGCTCCTTTCTTCGCCATCCACTTGCTGCAGTCCCAAACCCGAGCCAAGCTGGTTCTTGAGAAGCCTTGGATTCCATACGGATGATTTTCCCCCCTTAGTATCTCGCTCCAAGCCTGCGGTTATCTGACTAGCCCACAAAACTGTTTGCAGAGTCTTTATGAGTGCTCCACATCTTTTGGCTATCTGACCCATAGCATCAACATTGCTTTCGACAAGAAAGTGGATGTGAACTAAACGAGGTGCTTTTTCAGGGTTCAATATCGCGATGAACTAATAAAAATAAAAATCTGTATAATTGGGTTCACTAATAGGAACCTACCTAGTCGCCGCTGCCCGACAGGAATCTGTCCTCTAACGAACGGAATTCGGCCATGGGAGGAAGCACCACACATCTGTACTTCCAAAGAGTAGATGGAGCGAAAATTACAGTAGAAACGGTGGATCTCAGGAAGGGGTAAGGAGAACGCAATGTTTATCTCTCGAAAGATAAAGGACGGGCAATTGAAAGAAGAATGTGATTACCAACAAGACAGATATTAAGTTGAGCGTAACGTTTTCTCCGTGAATATTGGAAAATATTGTGTATAGCAGCCTGGTGGGGAGGTCGACCAAGTTCACCTTCGAGCGCCCTGATTAGTATTCCATCAAGTCCGTTGCCTCGTCGCAAAAGCCAGTGACAACCTTACCTGTTTCACTCAGGGAGATGTTGAAGGGAAACGGAAATATTAGCTTCAAGGAAATTCTAACGCGTCTATTGGGGAGACGTGGTCAATGGGCATAGCCACGAACAAGTTCGAATTGTCGAGCAACAATCAGGCAAAGGATCTCGGCTTGATTAATTGTGCCGGTTCTATTCCCCAAGTGTCTATTTGCCTCGGCATAGAGGCCAGGCAATAGACTTCGGTCATGATAACTTTCTTTTTAGACCGTCAATATACGACTGAGTACGTTCATTGCACGAGTCTCACCGAGATCAAGGCAAATCCCTACATGCTTTCCTTGTCCTCTGGGTCGTATATCGGTCCACCATTAGGCACCGTTCTTCGCGTCTTCGGCTGCTGGGGTAACCGCTTCAATATGGGCAATGTGTACTACTTGTGTATCGACTCCTCCTTTGCGCGGTCGCCATATCGGGTCGTTCTGCTCTGGTGTACGTCGCATGAAGGAGTTAACATCATACCTGTTCCTTATTGGGACCTTGTGCCGGTACCAACACCAACACCTGAAGAATCTCAGTAAGGTTACAAAATAAATATCAATGAGACGCACTTGGGCTTCGAACGGGTGTCATTGTTGTATGATCCAAAGGTCTCGGCTCTCCCTGCGAGGAATTCGAATATGTGCTGTTGAACAGTATGACATTAGTAAAGGGCCGGACGAGTCAGTAAATAGTCGGCAGGACTCCTACCCCGTGCAATATTGCTATGGTGTCCAATAGCGCCAGTCATATTCAGAGCTGTGCTAGGTCCAGGGAGTCCAGAGGCGGAAGTGGTAGTGAGCAGTTGCTCGAGGTCACATAAAGGAAAACATTGAATAGAAATGCCGCGAGCCCAGTGTCCGTGGAGCAAACGACCTGGCAACACCGAAGAGGACCGCTCTTTGCTTGGAAGTCCATGAGTATAGACCCCATCTTTTCATGTCAGGTTAGCGCTCACACATTAGCGCTCTCTTCAGACAGCCAAGTCAAACGCACGTACCCTGCACTATCCTCCCCGTGCGGATATTTTGCTCAGTCTGATGCTAGCCTGCCATAGACAAGTTGACTATACAAGAAACGACGCATCATCTTGCCGTTCCACACAGAGACGCTGTGAAAAGCAACCAAAAAGCGCGATGTGGACGAACGGCTCAGCAAGAAAGGGATGTCCTCTCTTCCCAGTCTAAAGCCAATGCCCTCTCTGAATGACAGCATCGGAACGTGGGTTGTCGGGGGCGAGCAGGAGGGTGGTGCGAAGAATCACGAGTGAATTTGAGGTAGAAGCGAGATCCATGACGTATGGAGGATCCACGACCCAGACCTGCCACTCATGAATCCACCAACAGCGCCTCTCCCCCAGAATCGGTGCATCACCTCGGGTCCGACGTCTTCCACGCACTTGTGTGACTGGCAGCTTTTCCCTCTCCTCCGTGAATTTGGTGTTGGGGGTTTGGAGAGGATCATTGAATCACGCTGTT